CTCTATGTAGTGAATCATGCCATTTATCAGCTGGGGGCTCCCATGACAAATGAGTGACTCCACATGTGTCCTCTGTGGCTGAATTGTGAAGCTATCCTGGTACTTACCAGACCTAAAAGTTCTCATTCTTGTGACTCAAAAGAAAGAGGTTGAGAGTTCATAGAAGGATCATTTCTGGTGACTGATTTTATTCACTATGCACTTTGCTCAAAATGTAAAAAATGCCAATCACAAGAATGATATATTAGCCTAAAATTACTATTCTTGGTTCTGATTTAAGTTTGGGAACTTTGTTTATCTCAGCATAGACATCTTATGTATATTGGTATATGATAGCTCTTTGAGCCTTTGTTTGATAGATTCTAATATAAAATCACTATATTTGGGTGAATAGAACAACTTGAATATTATAGCAATAAGCTGAACTAGTGTCTTAAAAATGGCTAACTGATTAATTAGGAGTCATCCAACAGGAGGCCACTAGTGACAGGTTCTGTTATGTTCCTATGGAAACATTTTATACTGTATGTGCTATGCTTAAAACATTTAAAACGTGATGTTTTGAATGTAGATAAAACTGTGTAAACCACATCATTTCTGTACATCCTAAAGGATGAATGTGACCTTTAAGAAAAATGGAAACTTTTGTAAATTCTTAATGATGCCATTTTATAATTCATATGACTATTATCTTTTAAGCATTTGCACATTAAAATAGCATACTGTGTATGTTTTATAGCAAATGCCTCCATGAATCTTTCTCATAGGTATGTTTTTAACATTATAGAATACGTGAGCATTCCTATGTAAAATATATTTTTACATCATGCAAGTAAAGCCAATACTTATCCAACAACACTGGTCAAATCAACTGAATAAAGTCAGCAATTTGTCTTAAGTATTGTAAAGTGATTCTTGACTGGGGTTGGGTTTCGGGGTTAGCATGTAAGTTGGAGGGGAACATGTATCACAAGGAGGCAAAAAATACTTGAGCTTTGCATATTAACATGCCCCACTTCTATTCGTGTTGTCATTACCATCATCTGGAAAGTGTTCTTTTTCGTATGTTGTGGTAGAAAAACAGTTGCAACCCACTGGTTCAGGCTAAGTGCGTAGCTATTTTGCATCTTGTTTTTATACATTTAACTACCTTTAAGTATAGAAAGTTAATAACTATCAAGTGGGGGTCCAGCACCATTTGCTGAGGGACTAGTATTAAACAATTTTACTTGTGTTACATGAATCATGCCATCTCTGTAATCCTCACATCACATGCATGAGAAAGGCATTGTTACCTCTCCTTTCTTTCAGAGGGGAAATAATCATAGCTAGCCTAGTAACCTAATGCTCAAGATCACAAATGAGAGAAATTGCCATGCAGTCACACTCCCTTCCCCCTCCACACAAAGGCTCTCCACCCAGGGAAGCACTAGCTGCTTTTTTTTTTTTTATAAAGATTTATTTATTTATTTATACAAGCACTGGGTACAGTCAGAAGCATGGGAGGGTGAGAGAATTCACCAGAGCCAGAGCAGGGAGCAGAGCAGGCAGAAGTGTTAGGGGGAAAAGGATGTCCAAAAGCAAATTCCATATAGGCTTTGTGGACTCCACCCCCACCCCAGGCCAAAGCCAAAGACACTGGGAACTCCAAATCCCATCACCACCAAAGGGAAGGTGGCTGGGACCTGAGGGTGGGGTTAAGCAGCCAGGTGGATATAAAAGGCAGACACGTGGGCTTTGGGGGAACCCCATTTTGGGCTCTCCACCAGCTCGCAGCATCCGGCCAGCTCTGAGAGTGACTTTGGGTTTCCAGGTCGTCGGATCGGGTAGGACGCATTAAAGACTTTATTTCCCTATTTTCTCCCTGAGTTGTACATTTTCCTTATTTCCTTTTCTCTTGTAAATAAACCTTTTATTAACCCTTTTGTGTGTGTCTGTAGTAGAGTATTCATAAGTCCCTTTAAAGCGTGCGGGTGAGGACCCACAGCCAGGAACCCGTTCAATATCGGGGTTGCTCTATAACAGAAGGACCGAAGTACACTGCTGAGGGGAGCAGCGGGCGGCAGGAGAGGTCTGCGCACCATGTGGGACCCTCCTCAGGTGGCCGGGGAGCAGCCGGGCATTGAACCAGCGCTGCAGAGGCTGCGGGCAGCTTCGCAACCCAGCGCTCAACCACTGCGCCACCAGGGAGGCCCTGCTTTTTTTTTTTTAAGACTTGTTTTATTTATGCATACAAGAACTAGGGTACAGAGCAGAGGCGGGGCGGGGGGGGGGTGGGGAGGATTCACCAGAGACAGAGTGGGGAACTGAACAGGCAGATCTACTGAAATACATTGCTGAGGGGAGCAGCGAGTGAGTCAGGAGAGGTCTGCTGCACCATGTGGGTAGCTCCCTGGCTGGGGATCAAACTCATGCCGCAACAGCTGTGGACAGACTCATAGGCTACACCTTAACCCCCTGTGCCACCAGGGAGGTTGCTGCTTTATTGGTCTCTGCCCTGATCCCTGGCAACAAGCTCTTAAAACTCTTACAATTTCCTAAGTGATAAGAGCACTAAGAGCTGGCTTTGTTCTAACAAGATAACTATAGTGGAGTCCCGGATTAGGACTCATCACCAGAAAGACCCAGTCAGGATTAGAAGCTTAGGACTTTTATCTCTGACCCTATTTTTCCAGAAAAGGGAGAGGGTCTGGAAATAGAGTTAATTATGTGAGGAGGCTTCCGTAAAAATCTCAATAGCATGGGTTTCAGAGAAGTAGGGATAGGTGAGCAAGGTCCTGGGGAGGGTGATACACTCCAGCTCCCCAGGGTCAGAAGTGCCTGTGCTGGGGGCCTCCCAGACCTCATCCTAGATGTCTCTTCATTTGGCCATTCATCTAGATTTATTTTTTACCAAATCCCCTAATAAACTGGTAAATGTAATTGTTTCCCTGAGTTCCATCCATTACTCTAGCAGATTAATAGAATTGGAGAAGGGGGTCACGGGACCCTCCAATTTATCACTAATTAGTCAGAAGCACAGGTGACAACCTGGACTTACATCTGAAGTGGGGAGACTTATGGGATTGAGCCCTTAACCTGTGGGATCTATCACTATCTCTTGGCAGATTGTGTTGTCTAACTTGGGTCACAGAATTGCTTGGTGGGGGAAGCACCCTGTGTTTGGTGTCTGAAGTACTGTGAATGTGATACCAGTGTGGGAGTAAAAGAAACACTCAAAAGGAAAGGACTAGCTTTTTCTTACCATTCAATGGCAAGAACTTGGCTGATCCCTCTTTAAAAATTGTGATTTTCAACAAGCAACTATATAAACCAGAGACACACTACTGGGGGGAGGGGCAGAGGAGGAGGGATTAGGGTCAAATTAGGGGGCTGGGAATTGTATGGGGAATATAACCAAAATGAAAATGTGTACATTGTGCAAAAATGAAAAATAATGTAAGAATTATATATAATAAAATAATTTTTGAAAATAAAATAAAAATTGTGAATTTGGGGCTTCCCTGGTGTGGCAAGGGGTTAAGTCTCAGCACTATTTAACTATCAGCAGTCACTGCAGCATGAGTTCGATCCCCAGCCAGGGAGGTGACCCATATGGTGCAGCAGACCTCTCCTGTCTCACCCACTGCTCCCCTCAGCAGTGTTTTTCAGTAGTTCTACCTGTTCTGCTCCCTACTCTGTCTCTGGTAAATTCTCTCACCCCCGTACCTCTGGCCTACACCCCAGCTCTTCTATGCATAAATAAAATAAAATAAATCTAAAAAAAATTGTAATTTCTTCCCTTGTTACTAATATTCATGCAAGACACAGGAAATTCATTTTGTCTTACTTCAATACCAAAGTGAGAGCGAGCCACTCAGATCTTCCACACATGATAGAGCATGTGCTTCATTTATTTTCAGGGCTGGGGTAAGTTCTAAGTACTTAACCAATTCAGAGACATCTGTTTCACCAGAAATTAGAGCTGGAGGCAATAAAGCTTGGTTATCTGACTGTCTAGAGAGCAATAACTGATTTTATGAGATCCTGTTAATTCTGGTGACCATATCAGGGAAGCCAAGTGGAAATATAAATCAGTGAGAAATCCTTAGAAAGCACAGCCCTCTCTCATCACAGCTCTGTGTCTATGCAGAGGTGGCTGAGTACCTAGTAACTATATCATTGAAGAAGTAACACTAAAGATTAGAAGGGATGTGGAATTGCTTTACAATGTTGACCATCATTATTGCTTTCCTTAGTTAATTCATGGTAAATTTTCTCCCATTGAAGCTTACTGTACTTTGAGTCTATCTTTCCACGATGACTCAGAACTTCAGAGAGCTTGGATTCTCTTTCCTTTCCCTGGAACACTTGGCTCTTCTGAGCCTAATTAATACTCTTTCAGGGCACAAGTTAGTTCCTTTTCATCTAATAATTAAGCAAGTTTCAGGAAAAAGAAGGTTAATGTGCGCTACTGAAGGCTTGGGGCAGAGTGGAATTGACTTCCCATTCAATGGCTGTGAGCATATGTGCAGAGAGAGGGACTTGTGAATCCAAAGGCACAACTGATAAGTTACAGGATGGCAAGGCCTGGTACTAAGAAAGTCTTCATACAGCTGTTGGGCTTGTGTGAAAAACAAATGGCAACCTAGGGCCTCCCTGGTGGCGCAGCGGTTGAGCACTGGGTTGCAAAACTGCCCGCAGCCTCTGCAGCGCCTGTTCGATCCCCGGCTGCTCCCCGGCCACCGGAGGAGGGTCCCACATGGTCCCACATGGCGCGCAGACCTCTCCTGCCTCCAGCTGCTCCCCTCAGCAGTGTACTTCGGTCCTTCTGCCTGCTCTGCTCCCCGCTCTGGCTCTGGTGAATTCTCTCACCCTCCCATGCTTCTGACTGTGCCCAGTGCTTGTAAAAATAAATAAATAAATCTTTAAAAAAGAAAAAAAAAAATGGCACACTCCTCACTTGTACTTCCTTCTCTACCCCGGTCCCTTCTGCTTAGGTATTTCTTCTGATTGAGAATGCAGCTCTTGCCAAAGTTTTACTCTCAACAGATCAGAAAGTTGGATGGTAAGTGTGGGTCCAGGAGGCTCCCCAAACCTCTCCCAACTTCTATTTGTGGACTTGTTTGTGGACTGATTTGTAAGTTCTCACCAGAGTGAATGAGCAAGAAAGTGTAATGGTTTCTATCTCACCTAGGTTACATAAGAAAGAAAGAGAAAGAATAAGGTCATCAATATAGATTTTTCTCCCTGAAAATTAAGTTCCACTTTTGGTCTGGCCAACAGACAATACCCAATAGAAATATTTGTCTGGTGCCTTCCTCATTCTCCTGTTCAGCCTCTCCCTCTCCCTTCCTACAACCCTGCCCGGTTCCCCAGTGCTGCTCTCCAAAGGTAATTGCTGCTAGCAAAGATAGTCTCTATACACACATATTTGTGAGTATATAACACCCTTCTCTCTTTCTCAAACAACATTTACTACCACAACCAAGCACACGCACAGCAGTATAATTTTTGCATAGTTTTGTGTCTTGGTTTGTTGTGTTTGGTTGTTTTTGTTTTTTTAACAGATTATTTCGAGGAGATTACAGAAGGATTTTACTAAGATTAATCTTATTTAGCAAGTCTTGCATTTGTCTTAAAAAAGTAAATACAAAAAGCCTTTCCTTAACTATTTCTGCCATGAGTCTCTCCTGTTTTCTGACTTCCTTTGGAAATTGAGAATGCAACCTGATGACCTCTCATTTTGCTTTGGTCATTGCAAGCTTTAGAATTCATTTTATAAGAAGGGAACTTGAATAGCAATATGTTCATGGGTCTGCCTAAGGATCAAATTTAACTGTTTGCAGAGCAGGGATGAGAACCAAAGTTCTTGACTTCCAAACTCAGGCTCTTGACCAGACCACAGCACTGTTTGCTGTTTGCTGTTTCCTTTTCATCTCTCAAAGACCTGGGAAATCCCAGAGCAGAAGCAAGACAGCAGTTTACACTTATGTTAGTTTTAGCCTTGGGGTAACTCTCTCGCTAAAGAGGAACTATTGGGCTAGGCTAATCAAGTTTCCGTTCCACTGATACCAAAAGGCTGGATTTTGTCTCCTGTTGATCTCATGGGATGTGACCCATGTGGGTCAGAATAGGCTCTGGGGTAAAGATGGAGGAGAGAAGAGTTTCTATAAAGGGAGAAGAATTGATGGTGTTTGGTACAAACACCATGGGTTATTTATATATTTTATTATGTTATATATTATGTTATTATATATAACATCATGGGTTATTCATTAAAGTTGATAATGACCAGATAATGACCAAAGAATGCTGCTAAGTACCAGCTGCGTGCTCAAGAACTTTAGAATACAGTGTAGGTAGACACAGTCATACTCTATTGAGTTAACTCTATGAAGATCAAACTCCTTTTCATGTAAACTATTGCAGCTTTGGCATTATTATTTTTAATGAAGATGAATAAAATCACAGTAAATTATGAAGTCAGCAAAATGGTGCCAAATATTCTAAAAGCAAAGCTTTTCCAAAGTAGCCTTAACTTTGGAAGTTGGCAGGTGTGTTGGAGAATGCTAGTCTTTTTCATTTTTTGCTATGGTGAGTGAGGCTCAGAAAGTGGAAAATAAGACTTTAGAGATTGGGTAAGTAATGTGAGAACACACATGGCAAACTAAAGATTTGAACCCACGTCCATCTAACTCCAAAGTTCATGCCATTCCCACTAAACTCTACTGGTTCATCATTTCACTGGAAGAGGAGAAAAAAATTTCCTACCTAAGCTTGTTATTAAGAAAATCCAAATCTTATGGCACTGATATTATTCCTACTTCAGAAATGAGCTTACTTGAATTATAATGTTGTTTACTAAGACATAATCTTTTCTTCTATACAAACTATATAGAATGTACTCTTATCTCACAAAGCATTTACAATCTGGCTTACGATAGTTCAGTGTTTACAATAAGATCAAGACCATTAAATTAGCAATTAGGGTATTCAATGTAATTAAGGGCATAATTGTGTGGCATAGAGTACAGTGTGAGCACATAGGGAATGAAAAGTTTGACGGAATAGGAGTTGTAATAGGGCCTCCCTGGTGGCGCAAGGGGTTAAGAAGCAACCTATGAAACTATCCACAGGCACTGCAGCACAAGTTTGATCCCCAGCCAGGGAGCTGCCCACATGGCGCTGGAGACCTCTCCTGACTTGCCTGCTGCTCCCCTCAACAGTGTATTTCAGTCAGTCTGTCTGTTCTGTTCCCACTGTCTCTGGTGAATCCTCTTATCCCCCCACACCTCTGGCCTGTACCCCAGGTCTTGCACACATAAATAAATCGTTTTTTTAAAAAAGAGTTGTAATAATAGCTGGAAAAGATTTGCCCCAGGTAGGGTCTTCTTTAGATTGGACTTCCCAGAAAATGAGCATGAGGCAAAGCTTAAGTGCTTGTATTTTATGGAAAGTACAATTGCAGGGCAATGAGAAAGAGGGAAGAGGGAAGGGAAACAGGAAAGGATGAGGTGCAAATAAAAGCTAGTATATAACTGAACTGGCCACAGCTTAAGGAAAAGACACAACTGGCTGATTAGACTCATGGAATAGCTTCAGAGAGGCCATACAGAACAGAATGTCCCAGAGCAGGTCATGGAAGGGAGAAAGGGAGAGGGATTCATGATTCATTCTTGCTCCTCCCCTCGCTGCTCCCACCTGCCTTCTGTGTCACTGGCCAGAGTATTAGCGTCTCAGCTTCCCTGTATTTCTAGGTTGTATCTGTAGACACTTATGTGTGGACAGTTGCTAAGGAAGCCAGTTCCCATGTGCTGTAGCCTAACAAGAGAAGAGACCAGTGCCACCCAGGTGCCATCATCCTGGGCATTAAAGTTGCTGTGTCTCTCCACAGAAGTGGTCGCAATGGAAGCCATTTTGGAGCTTAACATTGCTCTTGGTGGATTCTTAGCGAAGGCCAGTGCCAAAAAGCATGGTGGGGACAACTATGGCAATGAATATTGTGTGTGTATGTGTATGCGTGTGTGTAGGAGGGGTTGGTCTCCATGAGTAAGCAACCAAGGATACAGGAGACAAGTGGGGACAAGTGAATCTGAGGAGGTATGTAAATTGTATCTGATAGAGTTGCAAGTGAAAAGAAATGGGGAATTTCAAGAGATAGGGTAGTCTAGAGTATCCTGGTCAAGAAACAGAGTCATCTGAGAACAATTTATTCATAATGGCACTCTTTCTAGAGATAGCAGTGTGGAGGCATCGCAAGGCATAATACTATAGTCGTGTTAGGCAATTACTGAACTCAGAACAGTCACATGGAATAGGTAACCTTGTTGGAAACAGCCCAAATGCCCAAAAATAGATGACTGGATCAAGAAGATGTGGTACATATATACCATAGAATATTATTCAGCATTCAAAAAAGATAAACACATGCAATTTGCAGCAACATGGATGGTGCTGGAAGGGATCATGCTCAGCGAAATAAGCCAAAAAGAAAAAGAAAAATACTGGATGGTCTCACTCATAGCAGGAATCTAGAAAACTTAAATAAGGGATCAGAAAAATGAATAACTATAAGAAAGTGAAAATCAAAATCAACAAAAAACTATGAACCAGAGACACTTTTTGGGGGGTGGGGGCAGGGAGGGGAGGGATTGGGGTCAGAATGGGGCATGTGCAGTTGTATGGGGGAATATAAAAATAAAATTTATTATTTAAAAAAAAAAAAGAATAGGTCACCTTGCAAGGAATATTGAATGAATGACCATTGGCCAAGGGACCAAGCAACCCCCAGGCAAACTCATTAAGGAATTTGAAGAACTCCAATAAGAAGCCAGACAGTAAGAGTCCATCTCCCAGAGATCAGCCTCTAGGGTCTAAGAGCTTGGTGCAGCGTGAGGCAAGTAGCTGCATCTGGATGATGCAGCTCAGACAGCAGTCTCAGAAAGCATCTAGTCAAGATCTTTCTCATTTTTTTTTTCAATTATGTGAGAGATAAGGTAGAATTGCTCAGAATTGCAGCACTAGGAAAGACTGCTAGATGAGAGGATGTAGCTAGGGGGAGGGAAAGTCACCTCAGGTAAGAAAAGCTGGGTAATCAAAAGCTCAGGAGCAGGAATGACCAAGGCATGTCTGTGGAACATTGAGGGATATCCTGACCCCACAGAAGTTCAAAGATTGTGATGATACTGGTAAATGCGTGGTGCATAATCTGAAGGACCTTGAAAGCAGGCAGGTCTGTTTCCCCTTGGTATAGAGGAGATTGTTAGCGAAGGTTTTTTGAAATGAAAGCAACATTGAGTAAGATCAGTCAAGGCAGAAAAATTAATTCCCTTTAGAAAAGAGGGAAAATGGATTCAGGAAATCTAGCTGGGAAAATGTTGAATGCACACAAAAAACAGTCATGCTAGCCTGGATTTGAGTGTAGTTGAAGAGGTGCTTCAGAGGGAAAATTGGCAGGAATTGCGTATTGCTGGATGTGGGGATAAATGAAATGAATGAGCAAAGAGTAAACATACATTTTTAAGTCTGAGTGACTGAAGAAATGGCGATATGGTCCACAGACAAAGGGATGTGAGATGGGGGTCAACTAGGCAGGCGTGGGAACTCGCCTGATGATGAGTTTTGGGTGAGACAAGTTGAGATTGGGAAAAACCCTCTAGTTAATCATATCTTCTAATCTTCCAAGGGTATAACAGGGTATTACCCTACTGAGGGTAGGATAGTGAGAGCTGTCTTCCAAATTGCAGGGGTTAAAGGGGTGCACAGTCTATAGAGAATACAAAACAATAATGAAATCAACTAAAAGTTGATACACTTTTTATTATGACTATGCCCCTATCAGTGACAAAATGCTCCTTCCTGAAAAAAATCTTTTATTCATCTAAGTTCGAAACAATTGTTGTAGTGACTATTCACTTTTAATAGTAAACATAAACTTAAAGTTAGCATATTTTAATTATTCATCCTTTTAATTTTTAAATATATTTAGAAAACTTACCATTTTTGCTATTTTAAGTGTATGGTTGATGGCATCAGTACACTCACACTGTTGCGCAACTGTCACCA